CGTTTGGACATTTTAAGGGTATGATTTTCAAGATGGGTATCGATCCTTGCATACATATGTAGCGATAAAACTAGCCAAACGTTCTGAAAAGATTCTCTCACAAACGTGAGATTTCATTTTATATTGGGTGGAGTCTGTGGTGTGGGTGTGGTCAGTGACTTATGCAGAAGTTGTTCTGCCGTGTGTCATTCACTCGGAGCTTCTATCACGGTCAATTCTAAATAAGAAGACTTTCCCACAGGCATTTGGTGGTATGAAAAAAGTTGAAGGATCGTTTTATTTTGAACTTTGTCTCCAGTAGAATCGATTGGAACATGTTGACATCCTATCAGTCAGCATATTGTGTGCATTAAGCCTCTAAAAACAACATAGTCATCGACGTGCACTCTGTCTGTCCGCACCAGATGATCATCATCCGTGGGCATCTGCTTCGCGTCAGCACTTGCACATACATCTACGCAACAATTCCTCATTTCTCCCCGGAATCACATGCTACTGCTTGTTTATTATGTTCGAGCACTGCCTCCGTCGCTTCTAAGTTTTGTTAAATCTTTTTCTTTTCCGTCTATATCGACATAGAGTATTAGGACCTCAGATAATTGCTTCTATTTGGCCTTCAAAGAGTAACCACAATACACACGCCTCCCTGAAGCCCGCATCGGTGTAATGGAGGAGACGAAAATGCTGCGCTGGACGGCTAGTGTCACGCGATTAGATCGCATTCGCAATGATGTCATACGGGAACGCTTTGGTGTAGCTCCCATTGCTGATAAAATGCGCGAAGCTCGGCTTCGATGGTATGGCCACGTTCTTCGCGGAAATGATGACAGTGTTCGCAAGATCGGCCTCAACATAGACGTGCCCGGAAAGCGGCCCAAGGGACGCCCAAAGCAGCGCTGGCTTGATACGTTGCACGTGGACTTGAAGTTAGTTAACATCCACCCCGATCAAGCATTCAATCGGGAAAAGTGGCGTCAACACATCAGAAAAGCGGATCCCTGCCACCAAGCTAGGAGTAAACGCTGAAGAAGGAGAAAGACTAGCCACAAGAGTTGAGAGATTCAGTATTAATGAAGACCACCGGATGCGCAGTTTACCTAAGAAATGTAGTTGGCTTCAAAGGAATAGGAAACCTCAAAGTAAAACAACCATTCGTTTTTCTTCAATTTTTTTGATTCCGCCTTTCTGAACAGGTCAAATTGTCCTTTGGGACCTTCCCAACAAGAGGTCGTCTGATTTTCAGAAGAAGTTCAGCCATATTTGAGAAGTGCGAATGGTGAGTCGCATTGGTGGGAGTTGAAGACGTCGTGGTTGAGGGAGGGAGGGGATGGGGTTGGAAAGGTATGGGAAAAAGAAATTTTCCAAAAATGTGGATAAATTTGGCGGAGGTTGGAGGAATTTAAGGCAGCTACTACGATTGATCCAGGAGAGGTTTGAAGAAGACGTAGGGAATTCAATGGTACGCCAACGGCGGAAAAACCCGTCCAAGAGTACGCAAAGTGGTACCGCCTTAATTGCCCGTTCATTTTTGACCATGAGTGAATTGGAATTTTCGCAGTTTTAACAGTTCATATTTTGAAATATGGAAGTGTGTCAGATGGTCAGGAACACTAACAAGAAGGTGTGAGTAGTGAGTGGTGGAAAGGGTCTTATAAAAAGGGTTTCACAAATCAATCAATTGGGACAGTTGCCCCCGCGATGATTTTTCAATTGAGGGACGTAATTCTATTGAGTTCTTCGAAAAGTGAAATTCTACATCGCATTGAGTATCGGCATTCCGTAATCAGCCTGGTGAACTAGAATTCGCCAGAAAAACGGGCAGGAAAGGTGGTCATGTGGAAGACGAACACGTGCACACCAATGCCTTTAAATTCTCGTCATTTGAAAAGTCAACGGGGAAGTTGTGCAAGTTTTGAAGCCAGTTGTGCCCTCTATTTGTGTGAACGTTTTTGTAATATGCAATGGATTTCTATCGGACACACTAATCTTCTTGTTTCGTCCCGAGATTTTTGATGGGGCTAGCGCCTGTTGCTTGCTTTCGACCCATTTCTACGAACAAGTGCTCGTGTGAGGCTGGCAGAGCTGCTGGCTGGCTGCAGTGGCTGCTGCTATACGTAGCAAAGTGCTACTCAGAGCAAAAAAAGAGCACAAAGAAGCTGTCACTCAGAAAAATTACCGCCACTGCTGCTGTTGTACGTTGTGCTGCCAGTCGATAGCTTATCGGCCACCCACATCGACACCTTTTTTGCCCTGGTGGGCTTAAATTAAACATAATGGAGCCATTCTGGACCATTTTATTACTCAGTCCAGGATCCAGTGGAGGTAGCTGTTCTTTGGAATCATCCGGTTCCGATCGTGGGTTAGACTTTTGATCTTCTTATCGCGGCAAAATCTTCGCACACTTTCTTCTCCAGGGCCGCTTTTCATGGCCACCCCGAGGCTCTGGAGGTTATGCCGGTCCAGCCATAAGAGTCCGGCTACGGTTGTGATTGGCCAAAAATCCACTTGATCAGAATTCCTTCCTGTAATTCGGAGAATACCGCTAATTTTTGAACCTAGGACCTTTTTAGGTTCAATGTATGTAGCTGTAGCCTTGGTAATTTATCCAGGCCTCACCATTTCATGACGTAGCCAATTCTGACTTCGAAAAAGGACCTCAGGGCCCTATTTTCTAGAAAATATTCTCACAGTTTTCTCTTTATTTCTAGCTTTCATACGTTCTTCTTATTCCAAGCTGTGCTTATACCGATTCAGTTTACTTATTGTCTGTACAATTACAATATCTCCTTTTTTTTGTGCTGGAATATTGGTTGAAGATGCGCCAGCTAGCCGCTACCTCGCCTAGCATTCAGTATTTTGTAACGAACTCAACTGTAAGTTTTTTCAGCCTCCGTCGCCAGTTGAGGTCGTTTTACCGCAACCGCCTGTAGTCGCTGATTCTGAATCGGCAGAAGTAGACGTCACTGAAACGATCGTTCTGCCCAAGAAGACTGACAAACTGGATTTCACCAGGTTTGTCTACCACCCATTCATTTCATGACCTTTGTAGCTCTGTGCGAGTCAAGGGCATGGCGTATCCCAAATGGATTTGCCAACTCGCATCAGGCAAACTCTCCTTTCTGATTGATGCCTTTACTGTCATGTACATTTCGCTCGGTTTCAGAAGATGGCTTCACGACGATCTGTCGTCGTTGGCCTTCCAACCACCTGCGCCGATAATGTTCTTCCCCGAACCGGTAGGTCTTCGTGTAGGCAGTGATTTTTTGTCCCTCGTACGGGGCTTGTGACCGCGCGGATCTCTGTCTAGGAACTTTATTGGATTAAACAACGAAATCGATCCTCAGTCTCGAATGTCTTTTTTCGGGAAGTCTTGAAAAATGTAGAATTAAATTCCCCCAATTGAAGGATATAGTTGCGAACATCAGGTAAAAATGTGAACAAAACTTTCGCCCCAGACGGGACTCGAACCCGCACCTCTCGCTTTCCGGGCAAGTGCGCTACCAGTTACGCTACCGGGGCACCATTTCATTCCCAACTCAGCTTTTCATGGTATACTACCATAGCTTGTCGTACTCGAAATATATAAATAACATTTTCAACTCTAGTAGCCGAAAATTCCTAGGAGATGTTTAGTAACCGTAAACATCGCTATGTTATCGCTTTCACTCCACCCACCTTCACGCAGGGTAGAAACTCGAGAATTTAATGGTGTTCAGAGTTGGATAGCCACTGATAATAACGATTTTTAGTGTTCGTATTACAACGACGCGGACGAGCACTCATTGGGCAGCTGCTCCGCCGAGGTGGCCGCGATTAATTCGCCCGGAAGAAAAGAGAAACCGAAACGAAGCAATGGGTACGAAATTTAACGTGATATATGTTTCGCGTGAACCAGGCAATTAATCCTACTATCGAATGAATCAGAAATCTCGACTGGGGAACGGGGTGATCACATTTGAGACTCCCAATCAGGGGCTCGATCCCAATCTAGGTGTCATCGACGATAAGTAAGCTTAGGAGGGGAAGGCGCGGTAAATCAGGTTCTCTCAATGAGACTCCCGGCCGGATTTCTTGTTACACCATTATTTATTCAAACCCGTCAGTAAGTGACGAAATTCAGACTTCTACATTTTTTTAAATACCTCAGAAGTTTCATATACTTGAAACGAATAATGCAGTAATGCTGGAATTTGCACACCTCCGAATTACGCCATGCATTTGATCTTTTTCCAGGGTTGTGAAGATCGCTAAAAGAGTTGGGTGCCCAGAAAGTTACTTGCGGAGGTCGGCCAACAAATAGCCTTAGGGTTCCCTACTTGGACAAATTTGACACTAGCAAAATTATCGCATGAGCAAGGGTAGGTTACCCTTGGCAGGATTCGATCTTCTAGCCCATTCACGTTTGAGTAAGAATTCAGTCAAAGTTACCTGTAACTCAGTAAATACTCAAAACAACGCCCAGAAAAGCCTTCATTAAGTCCTGTCCCTGCTCTTCTAGGTGGCGTGGTATTTCACGATATAATGGCAATAAAATATTTAAACACTTGCTTATATTTGCAATTATTGGATAAGATTAGTATCGCGGTCGTTGCCTCTCTGGAGAAACCGGCACCAATTCGTCCACAGCCATGTCGTCCTCAGCCTGTCTATGGCACGCAAGAAAGGGCAAATGGGTGAGTGACGTCATCGAGCTTGTAGTGGCTATTTTTTGCTTCTTTTTGTAGTTGAATTCATTTAATTCCTTCAGTCGATGATTGAATTGAATGGTGATTACTTTCTTGCTGTCCATTATTTTCCAAGGCTAGCTTTTTGAGCTAATTAGGGGCTTCCAAAAGCCATTACCAATGTGGCTCACCTCAATTTGCTTCGATTTCTTCTTCGATATGTAGGCTTCCCTCTTGCAAAACAGAGTTTGTCCGTAGGGGAAAGGGATAGAAGCAGAAGAAATTCTAGGACAGTACAGCCTTTCACAATCCGAGTATCGTTTTAGAACCTTTGAAAAATTCAATACCATTTATCTTGATAGCCTTTTAAGCCCTATGGTTGGTGCTTTGCGGTTATACTGCGTTTCCCTATTGATCTGTTTGAGAAAGATTTTTTGCTCAGTCATAGTAGTAGGACCCAAAGATGCCCCTGACGACTTTAACTAGAGCCCTTCACAATGACGATGAATGATTTTAGGCCACGACATTTCCCTGTGGAACTCGAGGTGCCAAACATACCCCGTGTGGCTTCATATGATCATGTGCCTGAGCGACGTGAAAACCCGCGATTAATTCGTGGAGATCGGGATCACAGGTGCGGGTTGCTTCTGCAGTGAGTCTTAGCAGTAGATTAGCACAGCTGCCAATTATCACTCATTTTATTTGATTAAAATAAATATTCTTTGAAGGAGCCCTATCAGGCACAAGGAAGCGTGCCACCAGAGGACGTGATGAGGCCGTCACCGTCCGCCTTCCAAACCGTGTCCAACTTTTCCGGACGTGGCGGAAATATGAGAGGATCCTTGAGGTATGACATTTATCTTATTAGGCAGCCTAACCAGGAAGGTCTTTCAGGGCGTGACAAGCTTTTTGAAAACGGTCTTTTGCATGATATAGGGGCACATGCGGGAACCACAGAACCATGGTTAATTTTTCCTGAACGGCCCTCTGAATACCAGAAAAGGGGTCCCTAGTTCGATTCCTCGTGGTGACAAATTTTTGCATTTCGAGTTGACGTTCCAAAATTCGCGCAAAATGGAGTTCTGATATGTTCTGTTGGTTCTAACTCCATTTTGCGCGAATTTTGGCACGTCAACTCGAAATGCAAAAATTTGTCACCACGAGGAATCGAACTAGGGACCCCTTTTCTGGTATTCAGAGGGCCGTTCAGGAAAAATTAACCATGGTTCTGTGGTTCCCGCATGTGCCCCTATATCATGCAAAAGACCGTTTTCAAAAAGCTTGTCACGCCCTGAAAGACCTTCCTGGTAAGAAACTGAGGAATGAAGCGCATGCAGTGGGGGTCAACGTTTAGAAGCTTATTCGAGCCCTTAAAGTATTTAGTAGTTACATGTCCGCTTCGGAGAGCGATCACACATCATGAAGTTACTTTCCGCCAGACGACATTTAGGGTGAAGATAAGGGTGGCTGACCCAGGTAGGAGTTGATCCCACGGCACATAAATTTGTTCTGCTACGCGTCATGCTATTTCCTCACCTTTGAATTAGTTGTGGTGGAGTGACTATACACTAGATTGCAATTTGTTTATTTCCATGGGAAATTTATGACTCCAACTTCTTTAGATCACTTCCTGATGCCGGTCTAATCATCCGCGGTAGGTACCAACAGCAACCGTCACCCATGAAGGATCCATGTTTGGCTATTGATCAGTTGTGTGCCGAGTTGGAGCTCAACACTGAACAGGTACTGCTGTTTTACCGGAGAATAGCTCTTTTTGAATCACTAGGAGTTTCCGTTTTCCGTTTTTTGTATACACACGACC